TGCACATTCTGACTCCCCCATTTACTCCGCCCTTCACGCTTCCCGGCAAGCAGGAGGAGGATGAAACTGAGCAGCAAAGTGATTAACCTACTTTCCAGCAGGAAGTGCGGTGCGAAAAATCCCCCTCGTAACTGAACCTCCTGCTGGCCAGCCAGCTGCTAAATACACACTCTGAAAACAAAGGTGTTGCCTCAGAGAAAACACTTACGAGGCCAAATAGCTAAGCCAGGCACACCTGCCAGACGCGTAGGAATTAGCCTTGGATGAGAGGTCACTGAGAATAAGCAATGAAGGCCAAGCACAGACCTCTGAACCGAAAGGCGTTGAAAAATATTGCTCCCCCCTCAAGCCACCTTGTAGCTGTAATGGGCCTGGATTGCTGTTGGCGCCCTCCCTCCCAGTCTCTGGAGACCTGCTGTGCAGAGGAGCCTGCAGGTGATGGGGCTGTTCTGAAGCACGGATGGGGAGTTGAAATTAAGCTCCTCCACATCCCAGAGTCCCTAGGGAGGGACCACGGAGCGAGGTCTTTGATGCCCCAGAAATAGAGGCCTAGAGACTGAAGTTCTGTATTTGCCCATGGAACAGGCATCATACAGGCAACACAAGCTTACCTGGACTGCCCCACCAATGTGGCCCAACTTTGGCCTTGAGGAACCCCTCTAAGGTGCAAATGGAGCTGTGTTCATGGTCTATTCATTCCTTTACTTCTCAGCCAACCCTGTTCACTAAATAGCTCCTATGTCGTACTGCACTGAGGCCAGCTGTACCTCTCACAGAAGCTGACCAGAAGTCATCATGCCAGAATGGCTTTTGGGCCCAGATCCTCAAAGATATTTAGGCTCCAAACTTCTACAGGTTAAAGGATCTGTGAGGATCCGGGCCTTAGTCACCACTAGCAAGATCTAGGTCAGTGGTCCCCAACCTTTTCAGGTTGCCGGGCGCCAGGGGGCGTGGCCGTTAGCCCGGGGGCGGCCCCCCCATAACCCCCGCATGCCCGGGGCCGGCGCCCCCCCCCACAAGCGC